GTTGCTGGCTGGGGCACCTCTGACCCCTGGGTGAGACCTCCTGTCTCTTGGCTGGGGCACCTCTAACCCCTGGGTGAAACAGCCTGTCTCTTTACCTCTGGCTGGGGCACCTCTAACCCCTGGGTGAAACATCCTGTCTCTTGACCTCTGGCTGGGGCACCACTGACCCCTGGGTGTGGCCTCCTGTCTTTTTGGCTTCTTTGCTTGGGCTTCGCTGACCAATGGGTGAGACCTCCTGGCTGGGAAACATCTGACCCTTGAGTGAGACCTCCTGTCTCTTGGCTGGAGTACCTCTGACCCCTCTATGAGACCTCCTGTCTCTTGACCTCTGGCAGGGGTTCCTCTGACCCCTGGGTGAAATGTACTGTCTCCCAAACTGGGGGCAGTCTCCTAACTGGGAGCTCTGAGCTATCCTCAGGCTTGAGTAAATAACAACCCTGCACACCTGTGTACGCAGACAGGTTGCAGGTATCTAGTAAAACCCAGGCACAGGATTGAAGGTTCCTTCCCTTCCAATACACTTTGGAATCTTCAAGCTCCACACCCCAATCCAGAACTACAGAATCCGGAGAAATCCAAAAACACAGCTTTCTCTTCTCAGAAACAATAATCTGGAACTTTGTATTAACCCTTAATGCAAATCCCAAGTCAAATTCTCTTATATTCTGACAGGGCCTCCCGCTCTCACAGGACTTATTTGTGTAAATCTAGGAACATTTTTTTTGGAGCAATGACAAAAACATTAGGTTAAATTTTAGCTCATACAAGTGAGTAATTTAGGGTCAAATTCCATGATTCGTTGATGGGGTGAACAATGGAGTGGGAACGACAATAAAGTGGGGTATATGATGGAGCCTAATAGACAATAAATGGTTGTAGACAATGGAGTGGCATAGGTGGTGGAGCAGGTCGAAGATGATGGCATGGGATAGATAATGAAGTGAAATAAATAATGGAGCAGTGTAGTTGATATATCATGATAGATGACTGGGTAGCGTAGACCATGGAGGAGGATAGAATATGAAGTAGGATAGATGATGGAGTGGAATGGATGATGCAGCAAGACAACTGAATGATATAGGTGATGCAGTGGTGTAGCAGTGATGGAGTATGAAATAGGGATAGCTCATGGAGAGGGATAGATGATGAAGTAGGGTAAAAAAGGAGTGGGATAGACAATGGAATAGGGTAGACCATGAAGTGGAATAGACCATGGAGATGAATAGAGTGGGTAGACAATGGAGTAGTGTAGACCATGGAGTGGGATAGATAATGGAGTGAAATAAGTAATGGAGCAGTGTATTTGATATATCATGATAGATGGCTAGGTAGGATAGACCATGGAGGAGGATAGAATATGAAGTAGGATAGATGATGGAGTGGGATGGATGATCCAGCAAGATAGACAACTGAATGATATAGGTGATGGAGTGGTGTAGCAGTGATGGAGTATGAAATAGGCATAGCCCATGGAGAGGGATTGATGATGAAGTAGGGTAAATAATGGAGTGGGATAGACAATGTAATAGGGTAGACCATGAAGTGGAATAGACCATGGAGATGAAAAGAGTGGGGTAGACAATGGAGTAGTGTAGACCATGGAGTGAGATAGACCATGGAGAGGGATAGATGATGAAGTAGTGTAAATCATGGGGCAAGGTAGACCATAGAAAGGGGTAGATGATGATGTAGGGTACCCATGGGGAGGCGTAGATGATGAAATAGGGTATAGGATGTAAGCTAACCCCCTATGACTACGTGCCTTTGCACGAAACGCGTCAGAGAGCGGCTACAGCGGTGTGACGTCACGCCGACCGGCGCCACGAGGGCCCCGGCGGCCATTTTGTTATCTTTGTATGGTCAGTATCTCTCCTGCCTCTGCTTGTATATTGTGTGTCTTTGGGAATAAATACCCCTTGCCTATAAGGTATCACACTATTTGGCCTCCTTTGTTCTTTGGGCTCCGGTGGGAGCCCTTTACATCTGCAGAGCGAACTTTTTTCTTCTATGCGTGGCAAACACTATCAAGTGGCGAGGGGCTTTTGTGACCAGATCTGACCAGATCCATATGAGGACCCTAGGATTATCTGCTTTGAATGCGCATTTGGATTGCGTATCTGGTGAGTGCGCAATCTTTATACTTTTATCACCTCATCCACGAATCCAGGCATTGGAGCTCTTTGAAGACTCTCTTGGGTTTTGAACACGTTATGGACTATAACTTATTTTAGTCACCGTTTTGCACTTTAACAGCACCTTAACATTGGTTTATATAAGCGTATATTTATCAAGTTAGCGCTGCACCTCTCCCTTTTATGCATTCAGGGTATAGGATGGAATGGGCTAGACAATAAAGCAGGGTAAACCATGGAAAGATATACATGATAAAGTAGGATATATCATGGAGTGGGATAGACAATGTAATAGGGTAGACCATGAAGTGGAATAGACCATGGAGATGAATAGAGTGGGGTAGACAATGGAGTAGTGTAGACCATGGAGTGGGATAGACTATGGAGAGGAATAGATGATGAAGTAGTGTAAATCATGGGGCAAGGTAGACCATGGAAAGGGGTAGATGATGATGTAGGGTACACCATGGGGAGGCGTAGATGATATAATAGGGTATATGATGGAATGGGCTAGACAATAAAGCAGGGTAAACCATGGAAAGATATAGATGATAAAGTAGGATATATCATGGAGTGGGATAGACGACAAGGTAGGGTAGGCGATGGAGTGGCATAGATGATAGAGTAGTGTAGACCATAGAGTGGGACAGAGTACTCTGGCTCTTCCACAAGATCTTTGGTGATTGATAAATGAAATGTTTCCAAGCTATCAGCGGCCTGCAGAAGTAACAATGGCTGTGTTGCAAATGTAGCTAACGTTACCATGACCTAACCTTCCTGTTGAAGAATGAAAAATCCACATGTGCAATCAACAACATATGTGGCTCAGTGGGGCAAATAAATTTTAAAAAGATAGCAAATCTTTTAACGGGTGTTTCTTGGAAAGAAATGCTGCAAGTAATCAACAAATGAATCTTTAGCCCCTTTATAAATATACCCTGTAATCAGACACTGATAGGCTTTCATTTACTGTACAGAATTCCTTCTTTATTTTTACACTACACCCTGCTGGGACTTGTTGCTCCTCACCAGGTGGCAGATTCCATCCAAGGATGATTAAAAATGCAGTTTATGGTTATTATTTTTAATGTGCGATAAGCAGTCGTACTGTTTATGATGTTAATAATTCAGAATATCGAGCTTGGTGTGAAAACAATGAGAAATCCACTTTGTGACTGTGATCAATAATAAATAGTGGAAATATTATGTTCGACTTCAGAATTAAGGATATGAGTTGTGGGAGTAGTGTTTGATTTTGAGTTTGATTGTTCAAAACAGGAAGGTAGGGAGGCCTCATCTATAAAACCGAGGACAGGCACAGGGGTTGATTTACCAAAGCCAAACATTCTGCAAGGACATTTTCTTCATAGCTTAGTAAATGAGTGGAAGCTCTGCTGACTTCCATTATCCAATCTTGTGCAAAAAAAATGCATTTTTTTTTTTTTAAATTTTCCATCCATGTGGGTATTCTTGCTTAAAGTGAAGCTTTACCTCATTTACTAAGCTCTGGAGCAACTGAACTTGCAAAGTGCTCAGTCTATTAGCCTTCAGTAATACAATTCTATAGCGTTTGTTTTCCCTTCAGCAACCAGATGGTTGCTTCCCTTTCCGATGTTATGGGGGTGCAGACTATTGGCTTTGTTCCTGTACATATGCAGTGCGTGTGATGTATGTGTTGTGGATTATCATTCAAGAAATTCATAGTTCATAGGAAGCAGTAGTGCACATGTCCGTACTTCCAAATCACAGAATTATTTTAAGTAATAAAGTAGCTCTTTCTTGCCATTCATAAATGTCTCCTCAACTTCCCATCATGTGATCTAAAGCCCTGGTACCCAACCTGCAGCCCGGAATCTGCATGTGGCCCTTTGGCACTTACAGCGCAGCCCTCGGCACCCCCATAGAAAGTGACCTGTTTTGTTGCTTGCTTAAGACTGTAAAAAGAATGCATTCTAGTAATTATTGGTTTGATTAATTTCTTTTACACTATTCTTGCTTTTTTTCTGTGCTGTCCATCCCTTTTCTCATTTTAGGTATTGTTTTTTTTTTTGGCCCTCTATAATGGATCTTGCTGAAAATGTCAAATGTTGCACAAGTACAATTTGTAAAGAGGCTGTAATAGCTGTGATCTCTTGCAGTCTCTATATATCAAATCTCCAGTCTATGACTGTCTCCTTAAGCTTGTCCTCAGTCTCTAACAATTCCTATTGCATGTTTTAGACTTTGACCATCTCTTATAGTATGCCTGCAGTCTCTGACCATCTCCTGTAGTATTTCTGCAGTCTCTGACCATCTCCTGTAGTATGCCTGCAGTCTCTGACCATCTCTTGTAGTATGCCTGCAGTCTCTGACCATCTCCTGTAGTATGCCTGCAGTCTCTGACCATCTCTGTGTAGCCTATGACCATCTCTTGTAGCCTGCAGTCTCTGACCATCTCTTGTAGTATGCCTGCAGTCTCTGACCATCTCCTGTAGTATTTCTGCAGTCTCTGACCATCTCCTGTAGTATGCCTGCAGTCTCTGACCATCTCTTGTAGCATGTCTGCAGTCTCTGACCATCTCCTGTAGTATGCCTGCAGTCTCTGACCATCTCCTGTAGTATTTCTGCAGTCTCTGACCATCTCCTGTAGTATGCCTGCAGTCTCTGACCATCTCCTGTAGTATTTCTGCAGTCTCTGACCATCTCCTGTAGTATGCCTGCAGTCTCTGACCATCTCTCTGTAATATGCCTGCAGTCTCTGACCATCTCTTGTAGCATGTCTGCAGTCTCTGGCCATCTCTCTGTAGCATGTCTGCAGTAGTATGTCTGCAGTCTCTGACCATCTCTCTGTAATCTGCCTGCAGTCTCTGGCCATCTCTTGTAGTATGTCTGCAGTCTCTGACCATCTCTTGTAGCATGTCTGCAGTTTCTGACCATCTCCTGTAATATGTCTGCAGTCTCTGGCCATCTCCTGTAGTATGTCTGCAGTCTCTGACCATCTCTTGTAGCATGTCTGCAGTTTCTGACCATCTCCTGTAATATGTCTGCAGTCTCTGACCATCTCTTGTAGCATGTCTGCAGTCTCTGACCATCTTCTGTAATGTGCCTGCAGTCTCTGTCCTTCTCTTGTAGTATGTGTGCAGTCTCTGACCATCTCTTGCAGTATGTCTGCAGTCTCTGACCATCTCCTGTAGTCTGTGTAGCATGTCTGCAGTCTCTGGCCATCTCTTGTAGTATGTCTGCAGTCTCTGACCATCTCCTGTAATATGCCTTCAGTCTCTGTCCATCTCTTGTAGCATGTCTGCAGTCTCTGGCCATCTCCTGTAGTATGCCTGCAGTCTCTGACCATCTCTTGTTGCATGTCTGCAGTCTCTGACCATCTCCTGTAGTATGCCTGCAGTCTCTGACCATCTCCTGTAGTATTTCTGCAGTCTCTGACCATCTCCTGTAGTATGCCTGCAGTCTCTGACCATCTCCTGTAGTATTTCTGCAGTCTCTGACCATCTCCTGTAGTATTTCTGCAGTCTCTGTCTCTGTAGATGTCCATCTCTGACCATCTCCTGTAGTATGCCTGCAGTCTCTGACCATCTCCTGTAGTATTTCTGCAGTCTCTGACCATCTCCTGTAGTATGCCTGCAGTCTCTGACCATCTCCTGTAATATGCCTGCAGTCTCTGACCATCTCTTGTAGCATGTCTGCAGTCTCTGGCCATCTCCTGTAGTATGCCTGCAGTCTCTGACCATCTCCTGTAGTATGTCTGCAGTCTCTGTCCTTCTCCTGTAGTATGTCTGCAGTCTCTGACCATCTCCTGTAGTATGTGTGCAGTCTCTGTCCTTCTCCTGTAGTATGTGTGCAGTCTCTGTCCTTCTCCTATAGTATGTGTGCAGTCTCTGACCATCTCCTGTAGTATGTGTGCAGTCTCTGTCCTTCTCCTGTAGTATGTGTGCAGTCTCTGACCATCTCTTGTAGTATGTCTGCAGTCTCTGACCATCTCCTGTAGTATGTCTGCAGTCTCTAACCACTTCCAGTTGCATGTCAGCAGTCTCTGACAGCTCCTTGTAGTACTGCATTCACTGTGCAGCCCTTTGGAGATGTCGGGGGCAGCACTCGTGACCCTCTATATCAAAAAAGTTGACCACCACCGACCTAAAGCCTAACCAGCCTAGATCACATGGTATTTGGCTATTGGGACCATTGTGGGTGTTGTAAGTTATTATAGAGTGCAGAGAGTCCCTTGTTTTCAGTAACATAGATCTGGTCTAGTTGACTTGCAGTGATATAGGTGGATAAGCACAGCTATTGTGCATCTCTACTAAACAGCAAGCAAAGCCTGAAATTGTAATGAACAAACATGGCTGTCACTTTTTTATACATGTGATCGCAGACTATAAACAGAAAACAAGGTTTTTAAAACATATTGGGGTTGATTTACTAAAACTGGAGAGCGCAAAATCTGGTGCAACTTTGCAAAGAAACCAATCAGCTTCCATGTTTTTTGTCAAAGTTTATTTGAGCAAGCTAAAGTTAGAAGCTGATTGGCTCCCATGCACAGCTGCACCAGATTTTATACTCCCCAGTTTCAGTAACTCAGCCCCATAGGCTATGTTCACATGGTGCAATGAAGCACACTTGTTTTGTAACCGTTCCCACACGTCGCATTTAGAGCAGCCCATTGATCTCAATGGGCTGCTCTATGCACATGATGTGCACAAAAAAAGTGCCTATTCCTTTTTAAAAATCGTGCCACACCAAAATGCATGGTACTTTGTTACCATGCACTTTGGCATGCACAAACAAGCGCATGTTAGCAAGATGCGTGGGGTGCCCTTAAAAATTAATGACATCACTGCATGTCTGCAAAAGGACTGTGCATTGTTGTGTGTTGCGGGAAAAAAGAGAGATTTTGTGTGCATTTCTGCAACACACAAGTGTGAACGTAGCCTTAAGTATAGGCATTGATGAGACAATTTACATTCAGTTGATCACTTGTACAAGTATAGCTAAGGAACATTGAAAAGACAATAATTCCCCTTTAGTTGAATGATTCTAGTTATGTTTTGGGTTTTTAAATACACTGCTCAAAAAAAATTAAAGGAACACTTTTTAATCAAAGTCTACCATCAAGTCAATGAAACTCCTGGGATATTGATCTGGCCAGTTAAGTAGCTGAGGGGGTTGTTAATCAGTTTCAGCTGCTGTGGTGTTAATGAAATTAACAATAGGTGCACTAGAAGGGCAACAATGATACAACCCCCAAAACAGGAATGGTTTTACAGGTGGAGGCCACTGACATTTTTTTCCTTACTCATCTTTTCTGTCTGTTTTTCACTAGTTTTGCTTTTGGCTAGGGTCAGTGTCACTACTGGTAGCATGAGGCAATAACTGGGCCCTACAGAGATCGCACAGACAGTCCAACTCCTCCAGGATGGCACATCAATAAATGCCATTGCCAGAAGGTTTGCTGCAGGCAGTTACTCTAGCAGAGCTGGACAGGGCCGTAGAAGGTCCTTACCCCATCAGCAGGACCGGTATCTGCTCCTTTGTGTAAGAAAGAACAGGATGAGCACTGCCAGAGTCCTACAAAATGACCTCCAGCAGGCCACTGATGTGAATGTCTCTGACCAAACAATCAGAAACAGACTTCATGAGGGTGGCCTGACGTTCTCTAGTGGGCCCTGTGCTCACTGCCTGGCACCGTAGAGCTCGATTAGCATTTGCCATTGAATACCAGAATTGGCAGGTCCACCACTGGCGCCCTGTGCTTTTCACAGATGAAGCAGTTCACCCTGAGCACATGTGACAGACGTGAAAGGGTCTGGAGAAGCCGTGGAGAACGTTCTGCTGCCTGTAACATCGTTCAGCATGACTGTTTTGGTGGTGAGTCAGTGATGGTCTGGGGAGGTCTGGGGGGGGAGGCATATCCATGGAGGGACGCACGGACCTCGGCAGGCTAGACAATGGCATCCTGATTACCATTGTCAGACCCTACACTGGTGCAGTGGGTCCTGAGTTCCTCTTGGTACACGACAATGTCCGGCCTCAAGGTCCTGGAGGATGAAGGAATTGATACCATTGAATGGCCCCCACGCTCACCTGACCTAAAGCCAATAGAACACCTCTGGGATATCATGTTTCGGTCCATCCGACGCCACCCAAGCTGCACCTCAGACTGTCCGGGAGGTCAGTGATGCCCTGGTCCAGATCTGGGAGTAAATACCCCAGGACACCATCTGTTGTCTCATTAGGAGCATGGTCCGAGATTGTCAGGCATGCATACAAGCACGTGGGGGCCATACAAACTACTGAGGACTATTTTGAGTTGCTGCATCATTTTTTCACTTTGATTTTCGGGGTGTCTTTGAATTCAATCCTCTGTAGGTTGATCATTTTAATTTCCATCAAACAATGGGGCATCTTTACATTCCTAACAAGTTACCCCGTCCATATCAGTATAGAGATCCAGCATGAGATGTTTCCCCATTGAGATCTGATGTGTCTTCTAAAGTGCTCCTTAAATTTTTTTGAGCAGTGTATAATATTCCCCGATTGTTCATGTTTAGGAACAATGGAGCGGGATAGACAATGGAAAGGGGTAGGAAAGAAATTGGCAAGCTCAACACTACCAGAAAGTGCTGCATCTTTACTCATCAGAGCAGCCTGGCATTCTGAACCAGAAAACCTTCGCTGGGTTTATCCTCCAGCATCACTAGAAGCTGAAATATCAGTTTTGAGTGGACGGACTGTGAGCTGATCTCGTGCAATAAAACAGTATTTCACGTCTGTCTGTTCCTGAAATGGTGGCAGATGCATGAGCGTGTCTTTTGCACACACATTTTTTGGTGCCTATTGTGAACATTGTCTAAGGCCCATTCACACCTTACTGTTCTGTTGCGGTGCAATCTATATGCGGTATTACGCGTTATGTCAAAAGAGATGTAGGGATTTTTTCCCTGTTTATACCTACCTAGGTGGATGCAGCATTGGTCCAATGCTGCATCTGTCCCCTGCAGGCTCTAAAGGTAAAAACTCAGTGATTACTTGATCGCTGATCACTGAGTTCTCCTCTCTGCTCTGAGCAGAGAGCGGCGAATGTCAGTCACCGCTCTCTGCTCAGCTTCCCCAGCGCTCACTGGAGTGCTGGGCTGTGGAGGAAGCGGCTTGCTGCCTCGCTGAAAGGCTGAACCAAGTGCCTCTCCAGACTCTGGAGTGGATCCCGACTTTGAAGTCGGGATCTTTCCCCAGCCTGGACTGGCTGAGTGACGTCAGCCGATGGTGGACTTCAGTCTGCTGTCAGCTGAAATTAGGTTACAGGAGTGCAGAACGCACTGCACTCCTGTGATCCACAGAAGTACATCCAGAAAAGCTTTGGCTGTATTTCTTCTTTAATGGATTAGTTCATCTTTATCGATAAACTACCTTTGCCGTTAACCTCTTGCCGTCCGCCTGCTGTTTATAAACGGCAGGGCGGTGGCAGTCCAGGGGCGGGTTGCCGTTTCTAAACGGCACCCGCCTTTTCTAGCTGTGCGCGCTCCCTGGGAGCGCGCACCACCGCGATCTGGTGCCCGCTGTGTCCTCCGGACACAGTGAAACACCGATCGTCGGACGGGACCTCTGTACGAGGTCCCGATCATGTGATCACTGATTGGCCAATCAGTGATCACATGCAAAGTAGTAAGCAAGATGTCACTTGTGACATCATTGCTTACTACTTGTGAAATCTGTGAATGATCACAGAGGTCACATGGTACAAGGCTAGTCACAACAGCCTTGTACCATGTGACAAGCTGTGACCAATCACAGCTCACTCAGTATTTCTCAATGACTGCAAGAATGCAGACAGAGAGAAAGAGAAATGATTGCTTTTACATCCTATATGGGTGTAAAAGCAATCAGTGTAAAAAAAAAAAAAAAATCTTCATCACCCCCCACAAGTAGTACAGTGTCACCATGGTGACACTGTACTGCTAGGGTGACAGTATGTAAAAAAATAAATAAAAATAAAAAATAATAATATAAAAAAATAAAATAAAAATGTAAAAAAAAATGTTTAAAAATTATAATTTTTGGTTATAAATTAATTTGGATTTTTTTTTTTACTAAAAAAATAACGGAATAGTTTTTTGGCCAAGATTTAGGATGAAATATTATTTATTTGCAAAATTTTATTAAAAAAAAACACCTTTTTTCAAAATTTTTGGACTTTTTCATTTACATAGTAAAAAAAAAAAAAATCCCAGCGGTGAATAAATATCACCAAAATAAAGCTTTATCTGTCTCAAAAAAATGGTAAAAAATTCATATGGGTACAGTATTGCATGACCGCGCAATTGTCATTCAAAGTGTGATAGCGCTGAAAGCTGAAAATTGCCCTGGGCAGGAAGGGGTAAAAGTGTCCGGACAGGAAGTGGTTAAGGGCCATCTGTAGATAAAAACAAACTGCAGCTTTGACCAAAGTTAACCACTTGCTAACCGCCCGACTGGGAGAAAACGTCATGATTTTGAAG